GTGAGAAAAAAAACAAAAAAAAAAGAAAAAAAAAAAAAAAAAAAAAGGGAGGGGGTTTAACAGTGCATAAAGAATACCAACAGTTACTTATATGAACTGCTTATTATTTAGCCTAATTGCTATCATTTTAGCAATTATGCATACCATTAAATGCATCAGATTTATTTGTGTGAATTTTATTTGATTACAGTGCTAGATTTCGCTTTTGTCAGCTGTCATGGTAGTCTGTGCTTACACTGACTCATCACTCTTACATTTGACCTATCTACCCTTTCTCTGCAAGTTCATAGGTTATTCTTTTCTTTAGGTAAATCTGATCTTTCTAAGATTAGCTATTTTGCATACTTGCCACAGTAAAGGGTGTATATTTGGTTATTAAATACTGCAAACATTGTCAATAGAACAGGCAGACAGAAGATTGCAAATTTTTTCCTGGCTTTCTCTGTGAATCAGGCATTTGCATTTTAAAATACTTTTTCTAGCATGCTTCAGTGCTTAGTGGAAGCTACTGATGTTCCTGCCTAGTTAGAATGAAAAGAAGGATGGGAAGAGAGGCAGCTGCAGAAGCCTTAGAGAAAATGAGAAAAGGGGCTCCCTCGAGAGGAAGTGAATGTGTTGTATTGGGAAAATCTGGCTCCTGAGCTCAGCAGATGGTTGTTGGTTTCTATTTTATGAGATGAGGAGGTTAGAAAGAAGAACTGAGTCCTGTTAGTTCTCAGTTCTCTTTTTGAGTTAATGGAAATAATTTTCCATCCAAGATTCACTCCTGTCTCAATGGTATACATTAGAAAACCTATTAGTAAAAACACTCTAGTAATATCATGTAATTGTTACTGTGGAAGGTGAACCATAGTAAACCAGGAATAGCTTAGAAATCCATGGTTTTTCAGTTTTGCATATCAAGGGGATATATGGTAAGTGCTCAAAATAGATTTGCAGAATTGTGTGCGCAAATTTTCTTTTATAAGAAATGTCAGTGAAGTAGATGAAGGTAGTAGTAGCTGATGTTTATTGTGTACCTTTGTGCCGGCACTGTACTTGATCCTTCACAAGCACTATTTCATCTAATGGATACAACCACATTGGGATGTAGGCATTACCATCTCTTTGTACAGATGGGGAAACTAAGGCACAGAAAGCTAGGATTCAGCTTCTGGTCAATCTAACTGCTTAATTGACTCCTTTGTATTGTGCTGTCATTTCCTCTATGTTGACTATGTTGAAATTAAGAATAGTTTTTAAATACTTCAGTAGTTAAATTGCATGATGTGCTAAGTTGTAATGCATGCACACATTTCCCAAAGAATATTAGAACATTCATTATATCACTCCAAAAAGTTGAAGTGATTTAATTTTCCATGGCTGATTTACCAAAGGTAGTAGTGTGACCATATAATTTTTCATCCAAACTAAAATCAAAAGGGAGTGATATTAACGATTATGTAGTGATAACAGGAATAAACCGTACTATTCTGGCAACTAAGTTATACCATTACCCTAGTGATTGTTGCTTGTCTTACTTCATCTTTGAGGCAAAAAACATTAAAACAATTCTTCATATCTTTTATCTTCTAGGGGGATTCCTCAATGTCAATGTAAGTGAAGTCAGTTTTGATGAAATTCATCAGCTCTTCTCCAAGGATTTAGATATTGAGCCAGGAGGTCACTGGAGACCTAAAGACTGTAAACCCAGGTGGAAGGTGAGGTAAATTTTTTCATAAGTAATGTGACTATTACTATGCATTTGAGGAAAAGTGTGCTTGATTCAGAATATGTAGTGAAATACCTTAATGTCTTGATAAATTTAAGACATCAAAATTTTGATATTTAATGTATGTGTATTCACAGTTCAGATGTGATTTAAAGGTGTTACTTGTGAAGACTAACTGCACCTATGCATATACAAAATACATGCTCATGTGTTATTACCAGTCTCTTGGAGAGCCTGGTAATAAATACCTCACTTGAGATTGGCCTAGAAAACAGATTTTTTCAGTTGTGATCTGTTTGGAAGAGAGGCTATGGTTTCTCTGCCTCCTGCAACTGTCCCTGATGATTACTGACACCTGCAGGCATAGCCTCACCAAGTCCTTCCTGGGAACAGTGAGAGCGTTAATATCCTGATTTCCAGTTGAGTCTAGCATTGGGGTTTTCCAGCTCTGTTCTTCAGAGTCTCAGAATTCTAAAGTGGCCACTCAGAGGTGACTGTGAGACAAAAAGGGGGACTTTAGGCTCTTCACCTCTGTTTCAGAAGGCAGAGCACAAACTTTCTATCTTTTTGATATGTCAGAATTCTCCTTAATGTTTTGTTTGAAAAACTCTAAAGGAAATGGCCTGCTTCAACTGCTTTAAAAAAATTGAAAACTATGGTTTAGACTAGATTTGCTCTCAATACTATAAAATTGGTCAATAAGTGCATATTCATGTAATGTTTTTATGGTCGAGTAGGAAATAGCATTGACATAATTCAAGTGAAAACTACATATGATTAAATCAAATGTTATGTCCTAAAGGATTGTGACTTAGCCTTAATTTGAGACTGGTTTTCAATTTCTCTTTTAAAATCTTACTATATTGCTAAAATATTTGTCTTTTGGTACAAAAAAAAAAAAAACACTGCTGGGGAGAATTGTATGCTGTTAAGCTTAGGATAAAAACCATCTGACTTAATTGGGGGTATGTATTATTTATATCTGCACCCCCAACGCAGAGCCTATTGTCTTGTATAAAGTAAGCACTAAACCTAGTTTTGTTGAATTGAGTTTATGAGACAAATAAATGCCTTGTACAAATTATTTAATAAATATTTGTCCCCGCCCCCCATACAAGTTGTAAAGCTGCTTAAATGAATTGCAGTACAAATTTTGGCAAAACATTCTATTTTAAATTGTCTTATGTTCTTTCCCAGATCAGACTCAGTTAATAGATGAATTTTTTCATATTTGATGATTGATTTTTCTCACATTTGTGTATAAATATGGCCTAATTTACATAATCCCACTTTTTAAAACGGTCGTGGGAATATTGTTTTTCTTATTCAGGTGGTGAGTATGTATGTTGGATGCTAATGAAAGAAAAAGCATACTCAGTCATATAGGCTATTGGGTAGCATGGAGATTGGTCCTCAGACACCTGTTCATGTGGAGTACAATGTGCCTTTCAGGTGTGCACTGTGTGGCATAGTAGTAGAGTAATTTGGGATTGGAAAAAAATAAATATTCTTGTCCTTTCCCCAGTGGTCTATATCAGATGTTGGATTTGAAGTTTTATGGTTGGTTCTTATTTACTGGGAGAGAGGTATATCACACGTAGTAGTTCCTATTTAGAGATTTTAGTAGAGTATAAACTCCATGTGAATCAGTAGGTGATGGTGTTGAAAGTGGAGCAAGTTAATTCAGGGATCTAAAAATTAGCTTATTTCGTTTAGGAACTATATGGTAATGCTGCTCTTATTTCAGATTTGTGCAAACTCTTCTCAGAATACAGTTCTGAGCTACACAGCTAAAGGTATGAGAGGAAATTTAGAGATCAGAGGTGACCGGTACTGCCGTATTAGTACTCCTCCCCTCCCTGTTTCCGTTCTAATAATGTCCATTCTAATCTTGGGACAGAGTTGAGAGAGGGAGAAAGAAGAAATAGCTAGATTTATGTTAAACATCTGCTATCTGCTGGCAACTTGGTTGTTAATATTTGAAGTTCTTTTACTAAAAAAAAAATTCAAGTTAATTGATGGCCAATTGACTGGAACTGAGATCTTTTAAAACTAGTCATTTCACCAATTCCTAGGTATTTCTGAACACTGCATGTTTGAGTGAAACGTTCAGCACAGGTTGGATGCCTCATAGAGGCAAGCTTATTTCTATCAGAAACAGATGAAAATGTTTACCTGACATTGTCTTTCCATTCAAGATTCAGGTAGAGGTCTGAACAACTTTGGTCTAAAACCTAAAGGCTTAAAGACTCAGGCAGCTGCTTTGATGCTGTTATCTACTTAGAAGTCTGGAGTTCCACTTCTAGTCCAAAGTTCCTCAAATATAGGTCTTTTAGCCACTTGTCTCAAAACTACCTGAGGTGTTTGGTAAAAATGAAGATTCTTGAACTTAGTCCTCAGACATTTTGATTCTATTGGTGGGAAGGGACAAGAACCTACTTTTTTTTTTTTTTTTAAATCAAGTGCCTCCTATTTGAGGAGCACCTGTAGGCACTGGAAATGAGGAGGAAGAGGAAGATGGACCTGAAAACATCGCAGGAGAATTAGAGCGTGGTAGATTCTACTTCGTTTTGTCTTAGTGGCAGATAACTAGTGCACCCTTAAAGTAGGCAGATCTGAAGCTATGTCATTTAGGGACACTGTAGCTGGTGGTGTGTTTGAAGTTTGAAAGTAGGACAGAAGCTTGGTGGGGGAATTTATGTAGTAAACATTTTTCTTGCTAATCTCCTCATGGTGAGTACAGGAGAAAATAAGCAGGATAGAAAAATAGGTGCATAAATTCAGTAACATTAGTGATTTTAAAGTGGGAGTAAACTGCATGGGATAATTTTGCTTGAACAAGAGATGGCGAGGAGAGATTTTTGAAGATGAAGTGTTGTTTTTCAGAAGGTAATGTCCAGATGTTCTTGCATCAGCAGGAGAGTGGGGCTTAAACAGAAAATTAGGGCACATGCAAGAAAGAATGTCCTGGAACAAAGGTTATTAACCCTCAAAATAAATTATCACAGAACACTGAGATCTTCTTTTTTTCTAAGACAACAAATTGTAAACTATTGAGAATGTCCTTTCACAGCCACAACAAGGGACATGCAAAATGAAGTTTTAAGATACTATTTAGCTTTATTTTAATAAACTTTGCTTCAGTCATATCATTCAAAATCTTTGATAACTATCTCATTAAGATGTGGATATTTATTTGCTATTAAAATAAGTTTTGCTTATTTAAATTTGCCAAGACACTGGTAATTTTTTTTCTCTTATGACATTCTCAGCTTCCTTATGAGATTTAAAAAACAAGCAACTCTTGTTATCTTAAATGCTTCATTGAAGAAATTAGGGGCTATGACTTTGCCTTTGTTTATTCTTATATATTTAACTCATCACTCAACCTAATTGTATATAAATAATATGGACTTTTTAAAATGGACTCTGAAGCTTTTAAATAGCTTCTTCCCTTAAGTATCTATAATTCACTTTAATTGCTTTTATAGCCCATTTACATCATGTCTGTGGCAGTCAACTTGTGGCCAGTTCAAAATCAGGAAGGGCAAGCTCGACCCTCATTTCAATAGAAGTCATCACACTGATACACTTCAGACAAGGTCAAGGGATCTGTAATCACCATCTAGTTCCATTCTCTCCTTTTATTTTTCATAACAGTTTCCCATCCTAAGAGTAAACCCAGGGGTCCTGAACTGCTTTTGGAGTTGTATTGATCTGGGACTTCCTTGAATACACCAGTAATTGATCCCAAAGTCCATCAGCAAGTTCCCAGTCAGTAGGGAGTGCCAGCAACAACAGTTGCCGTCTTGCGGGAGTCTGGAAGGTACTCTTAGATGTCGGTTGCTCTGGCAGCTCTGTGGCCTCAGATTCATAACCCAAGAGCTACCTTATGGGGCAAACCAAAAGGCAGTGGGATCCCAAGTGGGGCTGGCAGAGGTACCAGAACCTCTTATGCCTACCACTTACCAGGTATAAAACAATGTGAACATGAAAATATCAGCCTCATGGCAGCCATTGTCTCTTTTTCTTCTATCCCATCAGCATTAAGGGCAAAATTAGTGGTGGAGTTTCTCGTTCACATATCTTCAATTTTTTGTTCACTTTTTAAATTAATCTATTTTAAGAATTTAAAAATTTCTCTCACTTATGATCCTGGTAATTTAAAATATCCAAGTAAATCTTACTATTTTCTCTTGACTATATCTAATGCCATGTCCTGATTTTACAAGTAGGATTAGCTCCTAAGCCTATGCATTCCCAATTATTTATATTTATCCATTATTAGTAAAACGTATTTGGTATATGTGACATTTTAATAAATCATAGACTTAATGTTCTTACATAATTTTCAGTTATAACCAATTTAGATTGTATTTAAAAATCCACAATATAGAGTGACACAGAAATTTTGATTAGATATATTCTGACTGTTACATTCTTTGAAAATCGAATGATTTTAGAATTTATAATCTGTAGAAAACTTATTTTAATTTCAATAAATTTATTAGAAAATTCACAATTATAATAAAGCCAGTTTAGTTCAGAAATTGCTAAGAAAAGTAATGTTTGGAAAAGATTTTAGTTTTTTCAAAGGCAAAATGAACTGTAGGGTGACTTGGTTTATATGACAAAGTTTGGATGTAGAAAATAAAGAATTTGAGTAAACGATGATGGATAATTATTCATTTATTCCCATATTATATAACACATTTTGTATAGATGGTATTTTTTAGTCTTGATTTTGATAGTTCCAATAAATGGTTTTTTTCCTATTAGAGGAAAGATTAATCTACTGAGAAACCATTCTAATTTCCATATACATGGTTTTTCTTTTATATTTTTGGATTATATAAGAACAAGTTTCTTTGATTTATAAAGGACAAATTTCTCTGTTTTCTGTGCTGCTTACATGATCTTTTTTTGTTAAGCTTAATATGCTAACACAATTTTATCATTAGTTTTATTTTAAATTGAGTATTATTCTGCCACCGAAATAAACATAAAATGTAGCAAAAATTATATTGCGCATTTTGATTAAGTGAGAAATATATTAACGTGATTACAAAAATTCATGTATATCCCATGACATATCTGTTATATTTCTTAAAAATATCCCTAGGCCAGATAAGCCATGTATAGGATAATAGATATTCAAGTGGAATCTCTCTTAAATTCAATTTAAATACCATTGTTATTATTTATGATCTACTTTAAAACCTAGACATTATCTTGAGACAGAGACATCCCTCTCCCTCACTCCTGATATCGCATCCATAAACAAATCCTGTCTGTTTACCTCTCAAATGTTTCAAAACTCCATGCACCTCTCTTTTCCTCCACCCTCACCTCAGGTCAAGCTTCCATTACCTTTTGTCTCAACTGTTTATTGCGTTAATTTCCTAACCAGCTCCCTGAGTCCATTTTTGGCTTTCTCTAGTCTGTTCTTCATAGTAGCTTCTGCTGTCACCAAATCTGATTTTATCACTGGATTTAATTTTTTCCACAACTTTTCATACTGTTCAAAGGATAAAGACCACAGTTCTTAGACTGGCCCTCAGAGCCCATTTCTACCTCCCCAGGTTCCCAAGACCGTAAATGGCACGAAGGCAAGGGCCATGTCTATTTTTGCTCATTGTTAGGTCTCTGATGAGAAGATTCATAAGAGTGTGACTGTGAAACCATCAAAATTTTAAGGGTTAGTTTTCATCTTTACCTGTAGGACTTGATGCAATATTATTTACAGGAGACTATTTTGTTTTAAAGGTGGCAGTTCTCATTCCTTTCCGTAATCGCCATGAACATCTTCCAATTTTTTTCTTGCATCTGATTCCAATGCTCCAGAAACAGCGGCTGGAATTTGCCTTTTATGTCATTGAACAGGTGAGAATATTTTTCAAAGTGGTAACTAAGTCTAGTAGAATGTAATAAACTCAGATATGATTTGATCAAAAATATTTAGCTTAAGATTAACCAGATAACGCAAATCTTTGGTTTTATATTTGGGTAAAATTGAATTTTAGATTGGGCTGTTAGTGGTACATACCACATTACTCTATTTGTCAGTTGATGTGCTCCTGTCATTTTTAATCGTCCCATATCTTACCTATTAAAATGAATTTTTTCTCTATCCTTCACATTTTCAGCTAATTTTTTCTCTAAATATTTTTCTTGTCTCAGCATAGCATATATACAATTACTTTCCATCTTTTTGAACCCTTTAGAGATACTTGCCATACTTCTATTTTTTCCCACTTTTGTCATTAGTTTTACACTTAAAATGGCATCTTTGATTTTTTTCTTCCCCACTCCACCTCCCAAACATTAAGGCACTTGATGAATTTTATCACTGATTTCCATGTAGCATTTCTAAAATCATACATTTTGTTTGTGTTTCAAATACAATATAATTTGGATACTTCTGATTTTGATATTGATGAACTCATTTTATCCTGATCTTTCCTTTTTTTACTCACACTAAAGCTGACTGAAAATGTATTTCTTTATTTATAAGTAGACAGAAAGTGACCCAGTTTATATTATTAGATCCTTCTTTTTTTTTTTTTTGGTCAAAAATATTCTAATTTTATTCCTAAGATTGTAATATCTAGTGTGTTTTGTCAGCTCCTTTGTAGTTTATTCTAGGAACTCCTTTATTTCTTCTTTTTTTAAAATTTCTTATTCTTTGCTTCTTGCCTCTATTCCCCGGCAATATTTAGTTTTTAATATAATTTACACTTTTCTGTACGTAAATCCCTTTTAAGATTTGTTCTCCGTGCATATATTGATGTATATAGTACATATTGCATATGTATGTTTTAGTGTAACAACCTACACCATGAAAATTTGACTTTTTTTTACTTGATAACAAATCAAAAATTTTAGATACTTTCATGAATCGTAGCTGCAAACTTATAGGTTAGTTTTACGAACTGCTAGTTTCCTTTTTCAAAACTTCAGTCTCCAAATGTGTCAGGAGATGAGCTATCTGCTGCAGTGTTTTTAAAAGTGTATTCTCTTGAGAGTTTAGCATCAGTGAATTATTTTGTGTATGTGATGAAGTAATCTTTACGAAGCAATTTAAATCCATATTTTATACACTTCTTAAGTCAGAATCTCAACCTGGATCAATATTAATTCAGGCCAGTACATCTGATAGTGTGTGGTTTTGAGCAGTAACATCTTTACCACATATGAAATAGCAGAGTAATTTTTCTGCTGGACTGGTGCCCAGAAGTGCTAAGCAATTGAAGAGCAGCTCAGAACTCCTAGTTAAATATGAAAGATTATATACACATTTACTTGTTCTCCTTTCCAAACTCCTAAAATGGGAATGAAAGAAAAAACTTTAAAAAGGTTATTAAAGCACAAGGACAAAGAGATGGGAGTAGTCAAGAGATTTCAACCCGTTTCTGGAAGTCAAGGAACAGGTGGATCACTGGCAATTCCGTTAGCAGAGCAAAGGATGTTGAAACCCATGTGCTTGATGAGGGTGATTGTGACAAGATTGAATTAATCTGCTGGCCAAACCCTTGCAAATCTTAGCTCTTGAAAGGTGTCACAAAAGGTGGACTGAAGCACTGGCTAAAATTAAGGGTATTGTGTGAAAGTTTGATTACAAAACAATCAAATCCCCAGTTCCTCATCTTTGCTTGTGTTGCAGGTGATTACTGTTATATCTTATAGGAAAATGTAAAGTTTATTTTCCGGAGAAACCATACTAGAGAAGGTCCCGACTGTGCTGACAAAGCTCTCCTGTGGGGCCTCAAAACAGAGGGGTTAAGTAAGTGTGCATGCTGACTGACCCTAGGGGCCCTCGGCCCTTTTCACTGTTTGGCTTTTCGAAGCCAGTAGTTAAGTGTGAATCTCCCCACGTCCTCCAGCTGAGGGAGGGCATGAGTGCTGTCTTCTGTAGAGAAATAGATTATCACCAGGAAAAAGATGCCCAATCTAATATTTGGAAGTCTGTGTAGGGGAAGGCCAGTTTGTCACTTTATCACCTCCATGACGCCCACTTTCATTCATTCAACAAAGAGGATACAGAAGTGAACAAACCAGGTAAGGCCTCTCCTGTTCTCATGAGGAGAGATGGGCAATAAATAATTGTGTGATATATCAGGTGGTGCTCAGAGCTGAGTGAGGGCAAAGAGAATCGTAAGGACAAGGAGGGGTACTCTTTAATGCAGTGTTCAGAGAAGGCCTCTCAGAGGAGGTGAGGTTGGAGCAGCCGTAGTAAGGACAAGGAGAGGTACTCTTTAATGCAGTGTTTAATGCAGAAGGCCTCTCAGAGGAGGTGAGGTTGGAGCAGCCCTGAATGATGTTGGGGGAATGTGCATTTCAGGCCAGGCAAGAGCTGCGTGGTGTGTTTGGGGAACGAGGTCAGTGTCACTAGAGTGATGAGTGGAGGACATCAGAGAGGGGTTGAGAAGCAGATAATGAAGGACCTAACAGGCCAGGGTGAGGACTTGGACTATTCCATGTGAAGTTGGAAGATTCTGGAGGATTTTGAGTAGAAGAATGACATGATCCAAGTATTGTTTTAAAAAGACGATTATTCAGAGAATAGACTGAGGGGGACAAGGGCTGAAACAAGAGCAGATAGGAAGCTTTTGCAGTTGTCCAGGTAAGAAGAGAGGTTGACTTGGGCTGCTATGGGAAGAGGTGAGCAATGGTTGGGTTTGGGCTATGCTGGATTTAGAAACGATATTTACTGAAGAGTTAGATGTGCTGTGTGAGTGATGGAGAACAGTTAACAGTAATGTCAGGGTTTTTGCCTTGCACAAGGCTGTTGCCATTTTCTGAGCTATGGACGTGTAGAACACTGCGGAAGAGGAATGAGGCTTTGTGGTTTTAGTTTGGTTTGGGGATTCGCTCATGCACACTCAGGTGTGTATGTGTGTGGTGTAGGTGTTTGAGTCAGGAGTGGTATGCCGCGATCCTTACATACATACATGGTGATTTCTCTTAGCTCTCCAAGTGTCTTACTCTCAAACATGATTGGGTGGCCAAGGGTTCTCAGATTTTGAAGAAAGCCTCCACAAGAGGAGATAAAATCAGTCGAACAAAAGGGTGTGTAGAAAATGAGACATTGGAGAGAATAGAGGAAATCTTAAAAGGAAAAGAAAAGAACAATAACAAAGTCATAATCAGTATTCACAGAGAATGAAGGAAAGATAACAAATCCATGTAAACAAAAACAGGACACCATAAAGAAAGAATAATCAGTACAAGCAAGTTATTGAAAATGAAAATATGATAACTAAAAGAAAATTCTCAACAGAATGGCTGGAAGATAAACTTAAGAAAATAACCCCTAAAACAGAAACAAAACAGGAGTACCAATATATCACAGGGTAACCAGCTTCTAAGATGGCCCCAGTGAACCTCTCCTCCTTGTAACCAGGCCCTTGTGTGGTCTCCTCCCTCAGTGAGTAAGGGCTGACTTGTGCGGGCAACCAAACTTCAGAGTGACAGCATGTGACTTTGGAGGTTAGATCATAAAAGACATTGCTGCTTCTGTCGTGGTCTCTTGGATCACTCGCTCTCAGGGAAGCCAGCTGCTAAGTCATGAGGACATTCAGGCAGCAGCCCTGTGGAGAGGAATCAGTTTGCAAGCTTCATCTTGCCGGCCATGTGAGTGAGCCAGCTTGGAAGTGTATCCTCCAGCTGAGGCCCAGACATCATGGAGCAGAGATAAGGCATATGTGCTGTGCTGTCAGGATCCTCTGTCCACAGATGCTGTGAGCACAAGAAATAGCTATTATGTTTTGAGCCACTAAGTTTTGCTGTGATTTGTTACACATCAATAGATAACTAATGCATTGACTAATAAAGGTTCTGGAAAAATGTAGCAGAACAAATTAGGGTGGAATGGGGGAAAATGACCCAAGAACTAATATAAGAAAATTTCCCAGAAGCAAAAACATGAGTCTTCAGATTAAAGAGGCCCAGATGCACACATGGATAAAACATAGGTCCCTTATTCAGCATGTTATTTTTGAAATTTTAGAATACAAATTAAAAAGGGAAGATATCAAAAAGGTTCTGCAGGACAAATTACCATCGATTATGTATCATAATCATATGACCCTTCTCAACAATTCTGATAGCTAAAAGATTGTAGAACCATGCCTTTAAAATTCCAGGGGAAACTGATTTTCACCCTAGAATTTTTACCCAGCCGAAATGTCTATCAAATGTGAGGATAGACTGATGGCATTTTCAATCATTCATTGACTTAAAAAAAAAAAGTTTTTTTTTCCATGGACCCTTACTTAGGAAGTTGGTGAGGGATGTGCCTCAGCAAATTGAGAAAGCCAAGTAAAAATACAGAAGATCTAAAGAATGAAAGAGAAGTCCCAGTGTGATAGTTGTACATGGTCAGACTGGTCCAGACTGGAGCAAGAACTGAGGGCAGTGGGAGGTGGAGAAAGAACTGATAGATGATTTGATGTGTTTGAATGATTATATCAATTATTAATAGATATAGGGCATATTTATGGGGACTTTTGTATAAAGTAATATGGGAAACTAAGAAAACAGAAGATAGGTATTATGCCCAGTTTGAGAAAGAAAACAGAATGCTAATCCTAATTCAGTCAGCACTCAGGAAATATTTCCACAGTCCTAATAATGTAAGCACTATCGATTTAATCAGAAATTATGATATAACTATATTGGGAGAATGCACGGAGGGGCTGTGAGTGTGGTGCTGTAAACAAGCATGGTAAGAAGTCAACAGACAGTCTGAAGTTAATAAAGCAAGGAAAAATCAGAACTCTTATTATCCTGAAACATGGAGATAAGCACCAGAATACACTGCTAGAGGAGTCAAAATGTATTGCTTTCGGAGGATGAAAATGGGTTAGACATAGAATCTTTTATTTATATTACAAGCCATTAAGTATTATGTCCACATTTAATAAGAACGATTTTTAAAACCTTGAAAGAAAGTCGTTCAAGCTGATGTTGATAAACCAGTAATAACATTATAACTGAACTCCCTTTCCATTTTCTTCCATCCATTTCACTGGTGAAGAAAGAAGCTATAAAAAGTAAAGTGATTTCTGTTCCCTCAAGTTAGTGCAGGACCCAGGAGTGAAAATTAGCAGTTTTTCACTCTTTAGGTAGTACTCTGCTGATGACTGCTTTGTGTATCTCATTTGTTCCTGTCCTAATCCTTTTTTGTTTATATTTTGGAAATGATTTTGAGAAATATTGCTAAGGCATAGGTAATTGCTGTTTAATATTCTTTAGATACAGAATGAAACTTTTTATTGCTAATGTACCTTAATATAATTTCTTGCATAAAGAAAGGTAAGTGGTTATAATATAGGAGGTTGGGTTCAGTGTAATAAGTTCCCATTTTTTTTTGTCCCTTAAAATACTCTTGGTGTTTATCATAAGCAAGAATAATAAAATAGGAACTGTTTGTTGCCTAGGCATTTTAATGTATTTTCCCTAGTAATAAATGAAAATGACTTTAATAAAGGAAGTTGGGTTTTTTTTATAATAAGTTCCAATTGTTTTTGTCTCTAAAATTGCCTTTGTCTTTATTATAAGCATTATAATACAGAGTAGTCCTCCTTGGCCTTGTTGTGTAAGAGAAGGGTTACTGTTTGTTGAGTCACTTTCAGTTTCCTGTTTTTCTTAGTCTTGACAGCATATGGAAAGCTTCACTAAAAGAATACAACCTCTATTATTTTTAATGGCTTTATTTTTTTTCTTGTCATAAATAATCTATATCCTGCTGTATTTGAAATAAAAGAGAAACGTGAATGATGTCATTATGGAAATGTGATAATTGACCAATGGACTAGACAATAACATTGTTTTCTCGTATGTTACCAAAGTATAAAATAATGCAAGTAAATTTAAGCAGTATATTTGAAAATCCTGAGGGGTATTCTTCTATCTCTTTGATTCAAATGCATTTGTTATTTGACCATGATTCAACAAGTTAGAGAAGTATAGAAAAAAATCAGATGACAAAGCCTGAGCACATTTCTGTTTTTTCTCCCTGTGGAGACTGGCACACAACCTTTTAACCGTGCAATGCTCTTCAACGTGGGCTTCAAAGAGGCCATGAAAGACAGTGTCTGGGACTGCGTTATCTTCCATGATGTAGATCATCTACCCGAAAATGATCGAAACTATTATGGATGTGGAGAAATGCCACGTCATTTTGCAGCAAAGCTGGATAAATACATGTATATGTAAGTAATTTGCAGTCTTCCAGATAGCATACAGAGTACTTACAAAATTGTCACTGAAACGGTAGCAGCATTATATGCCTGGGTCTGAATGTCCAAGAGCCTAAGGAACACCTTTAACTCCTGCCCGTCCTCATAGGGAGCCAGGATGTAGAGTTGCTTGTCATCCATCTAGGTGCTTCCTCACACTGAGGTCTGAGTGTGGGATGGTGGAAAACAGAGACTAGTTTCTGCCGTCAAGCACATGTGGATTTAACTTTTGTTTTTCACACTTAACAAGTTATAAGACTTGATTAGTTACATGTATCTCTGAACATCGGTTTCCTTGTTCATTGGAGTAACAGAGCCCATCCACAGGGCTGCTATGTGATCACATATGCTGGGCCTGCCCCAGGTAGGTACACAGCACCTGTTGTCTCCCTTCTGCTCCCCCTCCCCCAGTGACGTTTCAGTGTGGTGAAGGGCCTCTCTTCTGCAGTGTTACCTTCTTTCTAAGCTAGGGATTCTTGACTTGCCTTTAATAATAAGAAACAATTTTTTTTTCTATTCTATGATTACAGATACTTTGAAATGTAAACAGTCATTGGATCTGTGACAATAACTTAAATTGGCATTAAAGCATGCAAGTCTAATCTGGGAAAGAGATCATAGTTTTCATTGGCTAATGGAAGTGGACAGAAGAGAAAATAGCCTGGCACCAGGGAGATGGTGCCTGTGTCCTACCTGCAGGGCAGGGAAGGGCAGTGACTTGACCAGGTGAATCAGCACTAAAACAAGGAAAGAATGGCTTTTTTATTTTTATTTTTTGCTGGTCATTGTCATTATTAGAAAACTTTTTCCTTAATACAGCAGTATGTGAACTCCAAGTCTGCTGTTACCTTGGGAAGGTCATCTAGGTTGAGAATCTGGTTCTTAGCACTTCTGGAAACTCAATTTTGGTCAGCCTGCTAGACACAAATTAGATTCAGGATAATTGATTTTCACTAAAAAATATCATAAAGGTTATATAAACAAAGAATTCTGAATTAATCGTTTTACTTGGAAATATTAACTTGTAGAGAATGAACTATTCATATCCACCTAGGTGAACCCTAGGGTTAGGAGGGTATCTTGGATTTGAATAGAAATTCAAATGTTAGCTTAGGAAGAATGACAGCGGATCAGGGAGTGACTGGGCAGTGCACAGACTTCAGCCTTGGGAAGGAGGGAGCCTGATGGAGAATTTCTGCCCCCCAGTGGTGCCCACATTCTGATGGCTGCTGACCAGGAAGCTCAGGTCTGCAGATCAGTGTCTCTCTCTCTTTTGTAAGATAAACACTGCTACACTTTTGCTTGTTGAGCTTACATTTTCTTTTCTTTATTCATACCTTTATTTTATCTAATCTTTTCCATTCTGGGTATCATGCAATCGATTGTTTCCATTTAAGCAGAACAGTAAATGGAATTAATGTGCTTGCCAATTTATACATGTCACTAAATGCATGTGCGCACATGCATGCGCGCGCGCGCACGCACACACACACACACACACACACACTCTTATCCATATCTACCTATCTACTGATCTCAGGTTTCTCCAAAACCACTAGCCTGGGCGAGAATAATCCAAATGGTGTGGGAAACAACAGTGCCATGAATGCTTGTTGGCCATAGTGAACCCCAACTGGTGTTATTACTAGAATCCTAACTTCCCAAGTGCGAGCCTTGTGAGGTCTCTTGGGACACCCTGGCTGTCTGTGGGGTCTGCGTTGCTGATACCGTGTTGGGGTGCCCTTGGTACGGGGTGGGGCTAAGATTGCTTTCTCCTGCAAGCTGAGAGTTTCATGCAGGAGCTCCCTCTCCCATCTTCTGTGGCCACACAAAATCACAGCTGGCAAACAGCACTTCTTCCCCAAAGAACAAGATGAGAACCCCTTTAACAAAAAAGTAAAAATTTTCTCCCTTTCTCTGAGGAAGCTGAGCTGTGTGGCTTACACCAGCGTTCCTTCAGCTCGATTTTCAGATGCTGTGCACGGTCGTGTTTTCTCTGCTGCCTTCCTCATTGGCCTGACCCCTTTAGGGACTCTGGCACACTACTCTTTGGTAGCACATTTGGGGCCACAGGAATTTATTCAGGTCTGCAAACTCAGAAAACCAATCTATATCTAAACGAATAACTTAGTTTGACAAATTCCTTGGAGGATGAGTTTAAGAAACAGAAGGAAAATAAAATCCAAACTAAAAAATATAGTCATTTCTCTGAGAAAGACAAATACTATATGATCTCACTTACATGTGCAACCTTAAAAAAGAAACTCAACCGATATATACAGAGAACAGATTAGTGGTTGCCAGAGGTGGTGTGTCAGGGATGCATGAAGTGGGTGAAAGTGGTCAAAGGTACAATCTTCCAGTTATAAGATAAATAAGTCTTGGGGATGTAATGTACAGCATGTATGTACATTACATGCTGGATATAATGTAAGTTGTAATATACAGACTGTCGTTAACAATACTGTATTGCATATTTGAAAGTTGTTAAGAGAATAGATCTTAAAAGCTCACATCACAAGAAAAAGAATTTGTAACTGTATGGTGATGGATATGAACTAGACTTATTTTGACAATCATTTCACAGTGTATACATATATCAAATCATGTTGTACACCTAAACTAATACAATGTTATGTCAATTATATCTCAATTTAAAAAGTAATCATTTCTCTAAATATTACATTAAAAATAAATATACTTGCAAATATCTATTGAGCATTTTGGGAGTATAATCCAAACAGATATGGTTGTTATAGGAATAAGCACTTATCATTTCAAAATTAAATGCTAGACTTGTTTTTATAATTTATATTTATTCTGGTCTATATAATAACTAATGCATTTATAATTAAGTTCAATTAATTTAGAAAATTTTAGTAGCTAAGCAACATCTAACATTACATTGACAGTATTGATATACTTAGTCAAGTTTACTATGGTGTGAAAATATACAATTTTGAACGCTATTTAGTAACAGTACGAAATATTAAATTTTAATTACCACGGGTGTTTTATTTTGTGGTTTACATAACACATTTAGATGTACTTGTTTCTCTAGAATATAAAAATGTTTTGTTTCTTGGTGTACTTTATATTTCCCAGAGTATGATTTAATCAACGTAATTGTTTATTTGGAAAATAGGGGTATATTTTGCAAAGCACATAAAAGATTAAAAACTTAATTTCATATGGAAAACTGTTTTGATTTTATTTTTAGGATGCTATATTCTGCTTTCTTTTTAGTCTTCCATATAAAGAGTTTTTTGGTGGTGTAAGTGGACTGACAGTGGAACAATTTAGAAAGATCAATGGTTTTCCTAATGCCTTCTGGGGATGGGGAGGAGAAGATGATGACCTTTGGAATAGGTATGTTGAGGTCAAATTGCTTAATAACAGAATTTCTATGAATTTCCTTTCTACTAGGTAAATTGTACTTTGCTAATTCAAGAAAAGGTTCTTTGGGATGGGAAATTTTTGAGGCTCCTAAATCCTATTTTGTGTTTCTCTTTTTTTTTGGGTGCCTTCTGAAATTACTAACAACATATACATTAGAGCATTCTTTTTTATTTTAAATTGAACTCATGTAATCAATGTTTATGTCAGATTTTATTTCTTTATATTTTCATTTCCACATGTTGTATTTCAGAGTTCACTATGCCGGATATAATGTAACCAGACCAGAGGGAGACTTAGGAAAATACAAATCTATTCCTCATCATCATCGAGGTGAAGTCCAGTTTTTAGGACGGTAAGTTTAATATCATCTTCAGATACCAGAGTTTCAAAATTATTTAATGTATGAAAAATATTAAAAAATGCATTACACCCTCAAAAAAATTTTCTGAAGGGAATTTTCTGTCAATATCATTTTTTATAGAAGTAAAGTATTTTTGTGCTTGTTTTAAAGAGAGAGATATATATATATCTACATATACACATAAAGTTATGTTATGTTAAAGAGCCCAGTTAATTATTTATATGAAAAGTGTTTTCTTAATATAAAACATAATACATTTTATTTCTTAAGGATGTTTAAATTGTAAGGGTGCAGAATAATTTTTTCAGGTGGATTTTAAGACTTGTAAAAATGCTAATTTACAACAGTAGTTTAGAAAGGTTTTTAATTATGTATGAAAACCAAAAATTATAAAGAACTTTAACTACTTTAATTTATAAAAATGACCTTGAGCATATTCCTCATCATTTTCTTTTTGTACATGTTTTCTGATACTTTTTTCTCAATACTATAGGTATAAATTGCTAAGGTATTCAAAAGAACGTCAGTATATCGATGGATTGAACAATTTAATATATATGCCAAAAATACTCGTTGATAGGTTGTATACAAATATATCTGTAAACCTCATGCCAGAGTTAGCTCCAATTGAAGACTATTAAAACAAGTCACTCTGTTGGCAAGATAGACCCGAATGCTGGATCATAAACTTGGAGTGCACTCTTCATGGAGGTCAGTGAATGGATGTGTCACAGTGCCCTGTCCTGTGAGAAGAAGAGCCGGCAGTCCTCAGTGTTTACAGTGAGGGTTTGTAGTCTTCTTCCTCCCCTCCTCTGCTTTGAGACACACTCCCATGGCGAGCACTGCAAAGACCAGCTGCAATTGCTTAAGATTGGAAGTTAAGAGAGCTCCCTACAAAGAAAAATTTTTATACTGAAATCTATAATTTAATTCAAGAGAATGCTTTATTTCTGTTTAAACATATTTTGTACATATGTGATGTAAATTAATGTGTTCAAAATGTTGAAAAATAAGATGTGTTGCAGTTTTGCATGTAATTGGTTATGCCTTTATTGGACTTTTATAGACTTTTTTTTATTTGCATGGAAAAAAAACAATGTAAATTTATGTCACTAAACAAAGGTTAACCCTTGTGTGAAATGAAGGAACTGTCAATAATTGACAGCCAACTAATACAGTTAACTGTTATACTAGTTTTGAGCTTTAGACCTTCAGCCTTCTGTGTGGAAGAAGTCACAGCTTTCTTAGGATCTTAAAGGGTAAGAAGAAAAGGCTTAAACAGCTTTTCTTCTTACCAGGATCACCTGTATTTTTCCTTGCTTGCAATCTCATCAGATTTTGCTAGATCACAACCATATCGTTTATGCATATTGCATGAGTATTACCAAGAAAATCTTAAAAGTTGTGATGTGACATGATATAAAGGACTTCTTTATGTTAAATGTCTTTCATTTACCTCTGGTGTAAGTGTCAGGGATTTTGTGCCTCAAAAAAATGTTCCCAAGGTTGTGTGTTTGTACACTTTTTTGTTGCTGTTGTTTGTTTTATTATTTCTAGTTCAGAAGAGCCAAAAATTTTTTTTAAAGAACAAGTTATAGAAAACCCAATAGTACTTATACCAATGAATTATACTATTAGATAAGAAATTAAATGTTCTATTTTTATGAAGATAAAAGCTTAGTAGATAAAATTTTTAAGTTTAATTTTCAGACTCATAGAATTTCAAGTTTGGGAAGGATTCATTTTAATGTTGGCCAATATCGTTTAAACTTTTTTCACTAAAAAAATTACATCTCTGGTGTTAGTTATTAAAATTTTCTCACTAAAAACATAATTTAATAGAATTACATTATAATACATAATCAGTTATTTAAATACATTAATGTTATAAGACACTTCTCGGAAAACAGGTCTTACTACCTGCAATCGAGTATATTACTTTAACTTAAATTTGGGTGAGGTTTTTATGGCAAAACCAAATATTATTTTTATTTTGAAAATTGTCAATTATTTTAAACCAAAGATTCTTTAAAATAACTTAAGATATTTTCACAAATTTAAAACAAAAAATTATGTATGTATAAAGTGAATCTTCAACAACAGTGGAGAACAATAAAGATCTATTTTTGAGAGATGTTTGAATAACATTTGCCTCATGGATTGTTCACCTAAAACTGAAATATGGCTATTTATCTCAGGTTGTAAGTTTAATTTTGAAGTGTCATTTTCTATGGTAATTTTGGTAACACAAATGGCCACAAATCTAATCACAAAATAATGGAAATTCTTGTACTTTTAGAAAACTAATAGCTCTCTGTTAGGATACCAAACAGAATTCTTTCACATTTATTTCTTAGAAATAATTCCAAAATATTTGTGTCTCAATTTTTTTTGCTTATAGTGAAAATAATGAAAAATCAAAACTTCTGAAAAGTAAGGTTTGTTTTTAATTTGTGTATCTCTTCATTTTCTTTCTCATAACCAATGCAGATTTTTAATTCGAAGAAATGAAAGAAAATAAATTGGGAAAGTTAACATTTGTTGATCGCTAACAAGATAGCAGGGGCACAGAAGCATAATTCATAAAATAATAAACCAATTAAATATTTTAGTTAGGGGAAAATTAGGCTTATTTCTGAGTCTTATTAGGGAAACATTTTAATGTGAAGCTGCCCATAGTTTAGAATCTTTTCATTTTGATATCCATTTTATAATTTCAAGAAAACTTAGTTCTTTTGATTCTGCCTTACTTTCTCAGATTAAGTCTAATAGTAATTTTTGTTTTAGGAATGAATCTGCAATGAATCTTACTTTTTTCAGTTTTGAATATGATATGTCATCCTGTGAAAGCCATCTCATTAGTTTGCTTTTTGTCTTTTGATTTTTGTTTGTTTTTGTGCTGCTTTTTAAGTGCAGACCTAAAATTGATTTTTGTCTATAAAGTGACTTTTATATGTTTCAATAAAAGTAACAGTTTTGCCCTGTTATCTTTATTTTATGAAAATACATCTGTTTCATAAAAATTAACAAATACATTACATATGCAAACTATCTTCTTTATAGTTATGTTTGATGGATTTATTAGTGAACATGTATTCTTGACTACTTTATCAGGTGCAATGCAAGGTATGTGTATGGAAAAAGTATTATTTAATTTCTAAACAAATCAAGTCAAGCAAGTTGAAATAGTTCTAAAATTATGAAGATATCTTCTGATAGCTTATTCATTGTATTTCTTAATCTCAAAGTCAAGAAACAGATATATATGGACATAGAGTTAATACGAGGTCCCCATGGCAGTACTAGGAAAGATATATAGTGCTTTTCAACTAGAGAAAGTAGTGATTAATGGGCCTGATTGTAGAAAAAGGAAAAGTGTTCACATTTGCTATAACATTATGTCTAAACCATAGTAGTGATAGTCATTTAAATCTTTGCCAAAACTAATGAATATTTTTTAAAATCTAAATTTAAATTTCTGTTTCTATTTTGTGAACAGTTGTTCAATAAGAAAACCCTGTTTGCAATATTCTGTAAGTACAAAATTACATCTTAAAAACTTGCTTATACTCCTTTCTCAGTCAAAAGATTGATATCCATTTTTTAAAAAAATGGAAAAATATGCAATACAATATTCTCCCTCTTTTGGAGGCTCCCTATGAGTGAAAACAGATTTTGCATAATTTTATTTGGCCTTTGCTCATCTCTGTTATTTATTTTTTTTTGTATTTTACAAATATTAGCACTCTAGATTTATTGCCTTGTATTTGCAAGTATGCCAATTGAGAGAACCCAAATGGCCATAGTGGTGTTTATAAGAAAGAGGAAGTGTACTTAAGAAAGGCTTTTACATAAATGCACTGAAATAAATGCTAGTAATTTCTTGTATTTTCATTTTTTTTTTTTGCTTCTCATGAAAATGTTTGTACTTTTTTATCATTGTCTTTTATGAAATATAATGTTCTAAAGACTTTGTGTGATGACGTTAATTATTTTCTCTCGGAAACTTTTTTTTGGGTTATCTGGGTTTTTCATTGTCGTGTGTGTTTTTCTAAATTTCAAATGAATATCTTTATGAATAGCTTGGTTGCACTAGACTATCACATAAAGACTATCACATCATCTACTTTTGCAAGTTTTAGGTAAATAAATGTAAAGATCACCTTATAGCTTTTTCCTCAAAAGAGACACAGTAATATTTAAATATTTGTCCTCAATACAGTTAGGAATTTCTTATATCAAGATAAATATTTAATAAGCCATTTTCAGCATAACTTTTTTTTTTTCTCCAGCACAACTTAAGTAAACTAAACTGGTCAAGTCCCTTTTTGTTTTTTAGGTATCAAGTAGTATTGAAGATGTAAGACAGTCAAATCTCAAAAATTCTTAGGGACTAGATTTATATTGGGGCTAGATTATGAGAGCGTTACTTTTATTAATTTATTTGTATAATGAATTCTAAATATTATTAATTTTTCTGCATAGTATGAGCTCCTGGGCTATTGTCACTATATATCACAAATAAAGCCAATCATTAAATCATAAACATTTGTTCATTTAAATTATGCAAAGTCAGCTTTACCTTTCCTAGGTTTCTATTTACGTATGGTATTAAATGTGTCCTCTGATGAAACATGCCAACTCATTTGATGGTTATATATATATATAATTGTGCCGTATTTACACACATAGGTTTAAGGTTGTGAAGATATTCTGGACCAAAATTGTTTTACTTATAGAGAAGACTGTTTTTAGGGAGAATGTAATGTATTGCTCTTAATTTAAGTGATTTCAGAAAAGATAGTGCTATATCACTCAAAACTATACTGCAATTAAAAAAAATATATGGGCTGAAAAATAAAACTTGTATCTTTCTCAACACATCTTTATAACATATTGTGGTAGACCTGAATTCCATTGCTAATTTTGCCTTCCCAATTCCATCAGTTGAAGTCTGTGCTCTGGAGGATCACACATTGCCTACTGTCAAGGACGTTACTCACTACATGTAAAATTGACATAGTGGAAACACCTGAAAACCCACGTACTATCAGATGAGGTGCTCAGTTGTGGCCTCTGCACACACTGGTTTTACATTTCACTAATGCAGTGGAGCAGCTTTGTAGGAGCAGCTTTTCTTCAGGCACACAATATTTCTTAGCTATAAGCATTATACTTCAGAAGAATAGTTCTTCTGCAATGGACTTTGAAGCTTTGCAGTTAATTTTTAGGGGGGCTGTGTGGCAGGTGCTGGGTGTAAGCAGACTCGGGAATCAGATTGATAGAAGTTTGAATTAAAGGATTCACTATCATTAGCTGTGAATTATTAGCAAACTTTTAAACCTCTCTGGTCTCCAGTTTCTTGAGCTCTCCATTGAGAATGATAGGAACTATCTGAGGATTGTTGAAATGGTTAAATAAGCTAATCCTAACAAGAGGCTGACACAATGCAAAAACTTGGCTCAGATTAAGTCAGTTTTCAGGTTTAGAGTAAGATGCTATTCTCTTATGCAAATTGTCTTGGATCATGAAGAATGATACATTCTTTAATTCTACTGGGAAATCAAGTCAGTGATTACCCTAAATATGTGATGATATATGTAAACAGTAAAACAAGCAAAAGTGCACAATTAAAATGTAACAGTCATAGCCATGAAAAGAAGTGTAGCGAATGAAACTCAGGTGTATTTTCTCAAAGAGTTTTGCAATCTTAGGTAGATGATGTGGAAAGCATTTAGTTCATGGAGGGCATTCAGTCATTTGTACCTCCTCTCAGTATTACAGCTGAAAAGTTAAATGTCCACATGGACCCGATCATTTGCTTTTTATCTCCTGCCTTGGCTTTTGGGTTTGACTTTTTCACCTATCCTCAATTTTTTAAGAAGACTCTTCCTCTGCCTTTCGTTTTTCCCCTTTCTCCTCTTTTCTGATCAGTAACTTACTTTCTAGGACCACTTTCTAGCACTGTCCAGGAAAATGTTCTGTGATGATGAAAATGTTCTATGACTATGCTATCCGACATGGTAGTCACGGTCTACATGTGGCTGTTAAGCATTTGAAATGTGAATAGGGCAAGTAAGGAACTGAATTTTGAATTTTGTTAAATTTTAAATAAAATAGCCACATGTAGGAAGATGATCTCTTGAACTTACAAGGTTTTAACTACATGCCCCCGTAGGTGTATGTAGTTACCCTACGTGGTATCTCCAGTTCAGAATTCTAATTTACTGATCCACTTATTGGTCACCTGCTCAGTCACAGAAACTTAAAACTTGGAATGTCCTAAGCTGAGTTTATCATATGCCACTTCAAAACCTTGTCTTTCTCTTGCTTTACCACCCACTCAGTAACACAAGAACAAATCTGCGTGTCATCCTCCCCCTTTCTTCGCAGTCAACATTAACTACACCTCTCAAGCCTTTTCTAGTCCAGCTGGTCTTTTGTTTCCACAACTACCCAGATCCTCCCTAGTGTTTTCTTACTACAAAGATCTGTTATCTTCTTTGACTCCATCTGCCATCTTGCCAAGGAAATTGTGTCTTTCGAAATACTACGATGCTTTAAATCTTTCAGTGCTTCCCCATTGCCTACAGGATGAAGGTCAAGCATTTCTGTTTCTCATACTAAGTCCTTAATGACCTGACTTCCACTTGCCTCTCCAAGACCAACACCTCACCCTTCATTGTACCCTTTTAATTCCCGAGCCACCTGTGAATTCTCCCAAGGGCCAGCATCATGCCCCTTTGCACACCATCTTTTCCGTCCTCATCCACCAGAGGATCTGTTACATATCTCTTAAGATTCAATAAGCTCTTCCGGAAGCCTCTGGCCAACTCAAAAAAAATTTGCCATTCATTCTCTTGCACTCCTTCCCCACAGTATGTGAACCCTGTTAGAGCATGTCTTCCACTAGTCATTTGTTTGTACTTTATTTTTTCTCCCAAAGACTATTAGCCATTTGAGAGCAGTGATGTGTACCATTCAATTTTGTTCTCCAAGCTAGCACAGTGCTCAATGAGTCAATGTTTCTGTCAAGGGAACACTGTTTGCCACCTTGTAGGAGAGGACTGTGCACTGCATTCTAAATTACTGTTTCATTAATACATATATGCCATACCTACTTACTGTACCATG